GACGTTTTTCCTACCCTCCATAAACTTCTTAAACCACTCGAAAACTTGCGTGCGAGATAGACACTGATCACCATATACTTCTGTCAACAAATTGTAAGTTTCAGTGGCAGATTTTCCAAGTTTTGTGAGGAATTTGATGTTAGCACGTTGTTCTGCATTAGCACTCAGCATTATTCCGACGGAGCTCAGAAACACGATCCGCTTCTAACAATGGTCGCGGCCAGACTAACCGATGCACGTGAATGAAACTTTGTGTGACGGTAGAGGGAAGTCCAAGGGTCAATGCCCTACCCTCCTCTTCGTCAATGACGTGGCCGGAAATGAGTCATAAAAGAAATCCGGGTTCTTTATTGCCACACCTTGTATTTCTCTGTCACCCATTTTAATATCCTCCCACATATATCCAGGTGTTCCTAGTGGTGTCTTTCCTTCTGGCTTTCCCACCAATACCTGGTATTATGCATTCTTCTTCCCCCTCATATGTGCTGCATGTCCTGGCCACCTCATTATGCAATTTTCTCCAAAGGGATCACAGAAAAATCAATTTTTAATAAGTGAAACAATGGTAGTGGATGGAATCTAGAAATTCCAACAGATGTAATTTAATGGTCTGCTTTTCACACAATTAATCCAGCATCCAGATAAAGTTTACCACATTTTCTTCATTGGGTATTAAAAAGTATTATTTATTTGTCTTTCAGCCTACAGAGAACATCACTGATCAAGTAATAAAACATAATTAGCAGTTGGCTGTAATCAGAATTCAATGTGTAATATTCAAGCCATGGATTTATATATCTTGAAAGTGTTATATGGACAAATATAAGGACTTAATATAGAAATGTAAATTGTAAACAGCCTGGTTCAGAAAAAAAGTGTCTTTATTATACCTCAGGCCTTTCCTGCAGTCTTACTTTCATATCATCCATAGAAAGTTGTAATTTGCCTATTATTACAAGCCAGACTGCAGTACTGATAATCCCTTTTTAACACAATGTGGTCCCAAAAATTATGTCCTATGTGAAATTCAATTCCTCATAAAAATAAGGACTCTCATCAGCAAATTGGGAAATTGTTGGCCAATAAGGTGGATTTCACAGGAGCTTGTAGTCAGAGGAAGCACAGTTAAATGTAACTGTATGCATCTCTACAGAATTTGTACATGTAAAGAATACTACCACAGTTAATAAAGCTTCACATCATAAACTTGAAGTATGAGCAAGATGATGAAATGTAATCAATTGTAAACCAGTCAGATGATGGTGTGCTACTACTCTTAGATTTGCTGTGGTGAATACGCAAATTCTTACTTCCATAAAATCAAAAATAACAAACATGTTTAACTGTATTTATTGGCAAATGAAAGCTCACTAAGAATTTTATCTTCAGGTGTATGACACTATGCAGTCCTATGATATGGATTTCATCCTGCTCAATGAAGAAATAATGAGTAAACTTTCAACTGCCAAAAGACACAATCAGACTTGTTTCATGTTTGTGCTTTTGTGGACGAAAGAATAAACACATCTTTAAAATAGTTCAAAAATAAATAATAATCCTGACAAGAAAAAATAAAATAAAAACTAAAATGCTAAACATATTTAAATGGGTGCTGGGTTGGTATGTCATGTGTTTACTGATGTGTCTGTAAATTTGTTTCAGTGCATATATACCATTCAAGGAAAAAAAGCATGGCATGTGAACCAACAGGACAGGATCTTTTTTATGATGATATAATTGCATTAAAACAAAGGAATGAAATAATCCTGATAGATGTAAGAGAGCCATCAGAAATACAAGAGACAGGGATACTTCCTGGAAGTGTACATATACCACGTAAGTTTCTACACATTCACATACAGTATATACCAGATAATAGGAAAGGCGAGTCAACTGTAACCATTTGTGCATGATGGGCAGAGCAATTTTCTAGTGGTATATGACATTTCTGTGTAATTATGTAGAAAAATATTTACCCTTAGCTTCTTATCAGCTGGCCAAATTTCTATGCAACACAGTGCCTGTATGGGAACATACATGAAACACAATCTAAGGTGAACATGTTACCCAGAAAAAAGAAAAGTCTAATCAGACTTAGAACTTAAAAATTGTATCTTTGTACAAAATGAGAGCCAATGAAATAAGAGATTACAACAGTAAACTTTAAAATTAATGAATAAAGTATGTGCTTGCCATTCATATAATTCAATTAGGACCATAATATTTGCGGTCTTTTACTTTGAGAATTAATGTGAAATAGGTGATAGTAAAACTGACATTACAATTTATGAAAATTTGAAGTAGATAAACATTGCCCCTGTGTCAAGTGCCACGCTGTTAAGGTATATAGGGGGAACAGGGTAAAGCTCCATATATTCTTAACTTCAAAAGTTGATAGAGGTGACTAGCATCTTCACACTTTGGTTATTTTAGTTCTGGGGAAAGGGACTCTGATAACTGATGAGGAGGGCCTCAGATGCCCACTGAGTTGGAGATTGGATGGACCTCAGAGTTGGCAAAAAGAGAGATCCTATCCATGCTAGGAATCAAAACCTGATCATCCAAGCCATAACCAATTACTTTACTCACTACACTCTCCGTGTTCCTTTAAAATAAATATATTTTCTGCTATAAATTCCACTCAGTAAAGAAATATGTCATGTATGAGTAGATAGCTTAAATGCAGTTGGGAATACTTTGGCCCATTTACTCTAACATGTTAATTGTCTTTTAGTTGGGGAACTGAAAAATGCACTTCAGGTACTGTCTCCAGCAGATTTTCTGAAGAAGTATGGTACTGATAAACCAAAATGTGATGCAAATCTAGTATTTTCATGTCGATCTGGAAAAAGAAGCAGAAGCGCAATGGAAACGGCTGTGTCCATTGGTTTTCTGAAGTAAGTTCAACGCATTTCTTGTCAAATATGTTACATTGTAGCTCAATGCCATCAGCAGTCACAAGATGTTTTGTTCACATGTTTTCATTTAATTGTCATTTTCTCTGTTAACTGATGGTAGAATTCAAAGGGACTTGTAAAGTATAAGAAAGGTATAGTTTTCCCTGTGCTTAACTGATTATGCACCATGACATGTAGATGCATGGAGGCAGTGGAGGTACACTTCCACAATTCTTAACCCTGGCACCAGATGGAGGTGAGTGTTCAGCTTCATGCCCTGGCCACATTATCCCTGGGGAAAGGGCTCTTGTTACTCATTGGATAGGAGGCTGGGTGGACCCCACAGTTCATCTGGATTCTGTGGAGTAAAGACAAATCTCTTGCCCTTCCCAGGAATTGAACCTGAGCCATCCAGACCATAGCTTGTCACTATACCAACTGAGCTGCTGCAAAGTATAGAGTAGGAAGAATTATTGACATTCACCTAAATGCTACCAGGGCTTTGTCACTTATCCAAACACACAGCAAATGATCCAAGCTCATAAAATGGTCATATCAATAAATTACTACTGTATTTTACTACAGGACAGATTTTATACAGAATATTATACTTATGATTAGTCTGGCGATGACAGGCAAATTACATGTAGAGTGACTACTGTTTATTACATTTAAAGAATATAATTTAAATTTCAGTGCACAACACCATCCCAGGGAGTGAATGTCTGCCATCAAGTTCCAATTTAAATTCTCATGGCAGTAGATGTGTTAATTCTACATAGAACTTTAGGTACACAGTATACAGACGCAATACTAATGCTTGTGTCAGCCACATGTAGTCATCCAAAACTCTGCATACAGCATGTCTATAATATGTAACTCATTTTCTAACCTCTGAAGGAAGGTTACAATTGTGAAATGATGCTTGATATGTGAACATGGGGATCAGAAAGCCTTTCTGGGATCAAATGATAGTGTCCACCAAAGATACATGACAGTATGGGTTCAGTCCTGAGTAAGAGTGCAGATCTTATATTTACATTATATTGTCTGTAAGTTTTGTCAATTTTCAGTTCCCGTCACTATGCTGGTGGATTCCTTGACTGGCAGAAACATCATCCTTCTTAATTTAGTTGTATCGTCAGAATCAACAGCCCAATATTACTTCTACTAGTAGCAGATGTATGAACAAATAACAGTCATTACTGTTGCACCAGATAAAACAGTAAATTACCTCATTAACTCAATTTTCTGAATGACATTTTTGCATTGTGTAACACTGGAGGAAGAATGATAAAAAAAACAGAAAAATTATATTGTGCACTATGTTGCAAATATTGCCTGATATTAAGTTTATTATGTTTTCATTTTACAGTCCTTTTCTGTGTTGAAGCTGTATAAATAAAATATTATATGATGTTATAATGACTTATCAATGGAGCATAAATTACCCTTAACAGACTGGAGTGACCTTACTGCATTTGCAAAGAATGTCTTATTTAAAATTATAAAAGAATGTCATGAAACTAGTGTAACACCCACTGAGAATTCAATGGGAAGTCTTCATCATGTGTTATGTAAGCATTCATACTTCCTCTGTTTTATCCTGTATTCCTTTTCAGCCCTAAATGTTATCAAATGATAACACAAAGGCTGACATTTAATGCCATCTCCCATGAACACTAGGCAAAAATAGTCAATTGTAAACCATCTCTTTTATACAGTATACTACACTTCACATATCCAAGGTTACGTCTTACAAATATATGAAACAGAAATTTAAATTAAAAAAAGGTGTCATATCTTTGAAATTTTCAACTCTAGATGTAAATACTTCATTTAATTTTCATTGTAATGCTTCTACAATCCTACACAATTTGATAGTAAAACACGTTAAACAGGGTCAAGCCCATCACAAGTGTGACTTTAAGTATTATGGAAAGATTGCTCTGTGGAGAGGGATGATTGACGTGACTGGATAACATGGCTAAGTAGTATCAGTTCCAAAGAGCCTTCATTACACTTTGTGTGGGAATATATGTATGGTAAAATATGTACGTTTTCTGAACAATGATTGTCTATTTTCTGAAAGACAGAAAAAACACTTATATACTCTGTCAATATTTTTACTCAAACATTTTTCATTACTCTCTATAAATAACCTGTAACATTCCATTTAAATTAATATACAGTAAAACGTGGTTATAGCAACATCGGTTTCTGCGACACCTTGTCTATTGCATCAAATATTCAATGGTACGAACTAATTCCTCATAAAGCAACTGTTTTTATACCTTGCTTAGTACGACATGCACAAATGCATCAACCTCGTATGTAACGTCATTTTCATTCCTGAATTTCTCTGATATGGACATTGAACGTAATTTAGAAAGTGTGTATTGGGCAAGTAACAGGAAACAGATGAAGATAACTGATTACTATACTCGTATCTAGGTACAGTAAGGCACAACAATTGATGTAATCTACTGTAATTTGGTGAGTAGGCCTACCTTTAATATACAGTATTAGTGCGGTGTGTATTGTCAGTGAAAAGCGCTGTAATATGTCTTTGATATTACACATTTGGGCAATTCCACGTTAATGTTACGTTAGTCTGTACTTAACTACGTATTTCACTAAAAAATGCAACATTTTAACTCGGTTTTTGGTAGATTTTTACGTGACTAACATAAGGCTACTGTGGAAGTGCCCATTTCGGTTACAACGACACTATTTTTAGGTCCCTTTGATGACGTTATAACCAAGTTCTACTGTATATGAAATGTTACTTAAAAGTTACAGACAACAAAAAAAAAATGAAGCTATCCATGCAACAGGCCGTGGAGGACCATAGGGTTGTGAGACATCAAGGATCCCACATTTTCTAGAAAGCTGGCTCACAGATGGCAGCAAGGTTGTCAGCCTTACGCACTGGCTACTCTTTACCCTCAGGAAGATTCAGGTGCTCATTTTTGTTAAGAGGCTGACTCGAACCCAGGGCCATAGTGTGACTGGAAGGATTAGGTCAACTGAAAAATCCAATGGTCTCATTGGGAATTGAACCCATGACCTGCCAGCTTGTAACATAGTGCCTCAACCAACTTTGATATCACATGTCCCATGACAGGCAACACAGTATGCCTTATGATATTACAGGGAATAAATTATGGGTATTCCTCGTAAGTTCAAAAAATGCGATTTTATTTTAATGTACTAGCTAATTTAGACTGATTTCATTATTGGCACTTACTGTAATGCAACGGCTTGCTGGCCAATTGAGAGAGGCAGGGGAGAGGGGTTATAGAGTACTGTTCAGGTAGCAGAAGTAGAATGCGAGAAGAACGGGAAATTTGGCTCAGCCTTGCAACCTCTTCTGCACATCTACTGTTATGAGTTCTTAAAAGTCGCAGCCAGCAGGTCAACTAAATACTTCTAGTGACATTTTACCATCAACTTCAGTGGCCATAAATGAAGATTCAATATTGCCGATTTCTTCAATCAATTCATTCTACTTCTGTATCACTGTAATCATTTGCTTCACTGTCTTTAGACATTTTCCCCATATATATATATATATATTTTCCCCGTATATATGACATCCATCAGATCCCCCACTCATCCATTTAGCAAGCCATCTACTGTGGTGCTGATTAATTTATTTTTTATGAATCCTTTATTATTAATATAAACTGTTTTCATCATCTGAAAACTATTTAACAATGTTTAAAGTACATGTTGTTAATAAGTTTGTGTTTGAGAGGGAGGCAAAATGTGTGCATCTCAGGACAATCAGGCACATGATGTTCACTCAGTGACAGGTTTTCTGCACACGTTTCAAGGACATTATGCTATTGCACTTAGCAATAGCTAGCATTCCTTTTTAAAAGTAAATAATTATAAACCCAAGTTATTAATATGAAAGAATATAAATATTATTAAATAAGAAAAATTATAGTGTACTGCACAAGGCAATCAGTTTATGCAACAGCAATAATAATAATGGGGCACACTGTAGCGTAGTTGGTTGAGGCACTATGCTATAAGCCAGAAGGTTGCGGGTTCAAGTCCCGATGAGGTCATTGGATTTTTTCAATTGACCTAATCCGTCTGGCCACACTATGGCCCTAGGGTTGACTCAGCCTCTAACAGAAATGACTACCAGGAATTAATTAAATAATTTCCTGGGGGAGTAAAGCACGGCCGGTGCGTAAGGCTGACAACCTTACCACCATCTTTGAGCCAATTGTCTATATAATGTGGGACCCTCATCGTCTCACAACCCTATGGACCTTCATGGCCTGTTACAGGGATAGTTTTACTGTTTAATAATAATCTGTTTTTATGGCAGATCTCGGGCATTTCCACTAACTCTCATAAGTAAATTATGTACAATTTATGCACCTTCACTCACTTCAACCATTTCTGGATCTATCACATAAACTGAGGAGTACGTGTAGATAAAAGAGATCAAATAAATTGGAATAAACACCTCTAAGAAGCAGCTCTGGTCATGTCTCTCAAAACTATTATACTACTATTCCCCCCCAAACATAAGATTGTTTAGTAATATCTGTATCAGGAATACTAGACATATTACTGTGACAACAGATTTTCTCAACTCTAACCTCAACTGCCAATGTGAAAGCAAGCAAGTTTCATTTAGTTCTTGCATGCCAAATTAAAATAAATGAAGCAGCTACTGAATTAATCAATATAAATGTATTAAATCTGTTTATGTCTGCTTTACAAAACATACTGGTTCATGTCTTTGCCTTCAACCACAATTTTCAGACCACAAAAAAGAAGTAAAGTATGCCCTGACTGCATATATTTACAGTTTGAATATACAATGAACACAAATGTCAGTTTGAACATTTTCTTCTATGTACTGCTACAATATAAATGTTAATCAATATAACATTTGATTTATATACAAACTTACATAGATTTCTACCATTTACCTTCATTCATTATCCTTCTCACTGGCCAGTTTACTGCTGACCATTTCTTTAAACTGACTTAAGATCCGGTTCTCTCGTTTCTGACGTTCTTCTTTACTGAACATTGCTAGGGCACGCTTTTCATCAGCAGAATAAATTTGGTTCTCCTTACGGATACGGACAGCCTCCATGCGACGATGTCTAGAATAATGAAAAAAGTACAAAATGAAGTTTTATGAAACACTGAACCTACCAATCTGAGAGCCCTAAAGACATGAAGAAAACAATGTTAACATCCAATTTTTTTATTAAAATCTCTCACAACACAACAATATCAAGGTCAAGGCCAAGATTGGCACGAGCCAATCTTGGCCTTGACCTTGATATAGTTGTGTTGTGACAGATTTTAATAAAGAAACTGTATATTATAACACAACGGGATGCACAAAATGAAAAATGTTAACATCATTTTTGTCTATAAAAAGAAAAAGTAAACAGAGTTTAGGAAAAGTCAAGAATAACTGGGGTTCAAAATTCTTTTAAAAGTAAATAATGAAAGATCAATAATTGAAACTCACAGAAGCAGAAATAAAACAAGACTACATGAACACAATCTGTCCATAGGTTTAAGGGTAAAAATCTCTTAAGACGTAACTGATGAATATCTCTGAATCACAATGCCTAATTCCTTTAAATGCCTGAATCCAAGATGAGAGAACAGCAGAATTTATATGTTAACTAAGTAACTCCAAGGAGCTGGGTTCTTCTTGAGATGCTACCAGTTGCTCAGCTACTCAAGAAATTCCTAACATTTTATGGATTCCAAAGGTACATTATCATGTTCACAAGAACCCTATACCGGCCCCTAGCCTAAGCTAGATCAATCCAGTCCATACCACTCCACCCTATTTCTCTAAGATCAATTTTAGTATTATCCTCCACCTACACCTACGTTTTCCTAGCAGTCTCTTTCCTTCTGACTTTCCCACAAGACTTTTATATGCAGTCTTCTTCTCCCCCGTGCGTGCTACATGTTCTAGAATTTGTATGTTACTATTGTGCAAATTAGCAGCCAGTCTCATGAACAATTTTCAGTAGTACAAATTTCAACTACCTGTAAGTTATTTGACATAATTTAATACTTTTGTGCCAGTGTTATGTTTGGAACTGTTAACATGTAAATAGTACTGCACCCAGAATTTCAAGTAAATCATTACACCAACTTCAAATGCCTAGCTGCAATGGAACAACAATTCACTCTTCAAAGAGAAAGATGAATACAAATACATGGTCACCATATGTGGTGTGACAATAACGTTTGCGAACTCGCCACTGTGAGCCTGCTGTGGCAGCAGTAGACAGAAACCTCAGTATGGTTTGATGACATTGGCATATCAGCATTTCACAGCTGTGTTGTTGCTGATCTATGGCAGTCTCTTTCTGAGTGGTGTGTATTATTGTCTGAGTGTGTTTTGGTGTGCCATTGTGAGAATGTCAGAGCTTCTTGTTAAACTTGGCAAAGGTGGACACGAAATCACAGAGATGTTAGTGCAGGTTTATGGGGATAATGCTATGAAGAAAACAGCAGTTTAACAAGTGGGTGGTGACATGTTTTTTTGAGGGAAGAGAAAGTGTCACTGACAGAGAGGTCAGGATGGCTGGCAATGAGCAGAGCTGAAGAAAACATTGCAAAAGTTCTAAATTGTGTGTGAAAATCGTCAGCTTACTGTCGGAAGCATAGCAGAGCAAAAAAGAAAAACATCGACAGAAAAAGTTAGGAATATCTTAACTGAAGATCTTGACATGAGGAAGGTGTATGCAAAATTAGTCCCAAAGGACCTGCTCACACAGCACTGTCTGTGAGGAAGGTTTCAGCTAGTAAACAAATAACTGTGTTGGAACACCCTCCCTGTTCACCGGCTCTAGCCCCCAGTGACTTTTTTGTTCTCAAAGATACAGAAATATTGAAAGGAATGCATTTTGATGACAGTGATGACATCAGAAGTAATATGACAGCTGCTCTGAAGGCCATTCCACAAAACCAGTTCCAAAATTGTTTTGAAGGGTGGACTAGGCACTGGCATCAGTGCATAGCTTCCCAAGGGGAGTACTTTGAAGGCAACCACAGTGATATTCAGCAAAGAGGTATATAGCACTTTTACCATGATGAGTTCACAAACTTTATTGTCAGACCACACACACACAGTTAATTCTATACTTGTTACTACTGTCAAATGGAAGTGCTTAAAATAGCACAAAAATAAAATCCATTAAAGCAAAATCTTTAACTAATGATTTCAGAATCATCTATTTTGATGCAGAGGTTTTCTCTTCCTACAAATACAAGGTACTGCTGTGTGTCTATTGGCATGATAAAATCACTGACAACTACACATTAGAATATGCTTAGATAACCAACCCAACGTTGAGAAAACTATGGAATACTTAACCATAAAGGGACAAAGAATAAAGATTAAAACTAGAGCTAACTACAAATGCATTCCTCACCTGCTTCCACTCATAACATAACCAACAGCTTCAAAAGATGCTATCTGATCTGATGTAAGCCCTATCTCTCCTCTTCGTGGAATACGTTTCCCTTCTGCCACATAAGCTGCCATAGCAGCTCCTTCTCCAGGCAGGAGAGCCTTTCCATAATCTTTGGTAGACAGAGTTACATGCTGCTTCTGCATTGGTCCCAGCACACCATCTTCATCTTCTGAGCCAGAGGCTTCAGCTCCTGAAAATAGGGACAATCATGAAATAACTATCCTGAAACAAACCAATGTTCAAACCCATGATGTGTGTTTATGCTAACTGTCATACAGTGCACACTTTTTATTTAATTTCACCTTTCTCTTCACTTTTACACTAAGATGGTCAGCATAAGCACACATCATGGACATGAACCAGTGCAACAGGACGCTAAAATATAACATTATCAATGTTCAAACACTGAAAATTGGTATTGCAGGCTCTCAATTATCAGTCTGCAGATTGTACACCTTGTAGATTAACAGTGAAACTGCAATGATTTTCAGTGGACTGTACATCTCAACCTGTTGTGGCTTTCTCTTTTATTATTTTATTGCTTCTTGCTGGCATACTACCACTGAGCAACAGCTGTTTCACCTACAGAAAAGATATCTTACTGGTTAGTGACTAGCAGACTCAAGCCTACAGTTTATTACACATGGATTATATAGCTGCCAAAAACATTTGTGAAATATATTGGCAGGAAATTTCAGTATGGCATCTCTTGTGGCATTGATGACCTCCTCAGACGACTGAAATCTATGACCACGTAGCTTTGCTTTCAAGTAGTGAAAGAGAAAGAAATCACATGGTGTGAGATTAGGTGAGTATGGAGGGCGTGGCAAAATGATGACCTGTTGCCTTGCTAGTTCCTCTTGGACAAGAACAGAGTGATGTGCAGGGGCATTGTCATGTAGCAACACCCAATTCTTCCTACGGTAAACATTTTGCTAGGGGATTTGCCTAGTTTTTGGCAGAACTTGATGTCTGCCCCTTGTTCAAACTGTCACATTTTTTATTTCCGCCACTTACATTTAACTGCAGTTCACAATAGAGGCAGTAGTTCTGCTTACGTTGTTTGCACACAACTGCCTCTTGCTCTGATGAGAGATGAAGTGACAGGGCATCATATCGTCACTTAATCTATCCACTGTAGTGTACTGCAATGACACTTTGCGGTCAGTCCACGAACTTATTGACTATGGTAGTATATAAAAAAACAATGACAGAGACACAGCTTACTGTTTCTCTCAACCCACAATTCTACTTCCTCAGCTTCTTCCGAAGAGCTGGATGAACTACTCGAGACTTTCTTCCTTTTCTTCTTCTTTGACTTCTTGTCCTTTTTATTTCTCTTGTGTGAGCTTTTCTGGAACAAATTTAAATGCCAAATTTACACATCATAATACAACAGATTTCATTTTGCAGGGGCATAATCTTCACACCTATTACATACAATTTAGTATCATCCTCCCAGCAACTTAAGACACAGAACACAAATAATACAATGTCAAGGTAAAATTATAATATTGGCAATCATTTCCCCTACTGTAGTTTACCAGATTGTCCTCCTGCTCATCAGCTTAACCCGGTTCCCTCTTGTCACTGCAGAGTGCTATGCTGATGCTCCCATTCCTGCATGATCATGCAGATTGCAAGATGTAGATGTACCACAGCACTCCTGTTCTCATGGAATAATCAGATTATATGCATTCTTATGAGAATGCAAGTATTCAGGGATGCCAAATTTTGCTGAAAGTTCCCACTGACATGGTATACTGAGGCTGGGGGAAAGCTTATTTGGCTATGAAAATGACTAGCTTTTGCTGTATGATGACATGTAACCTGGGACATATTTATACCAACATTTTTGCATTGGAAAATGTCTATCAAACTACAGGTGTGACGTCCCAGGAGACAACTCGATAGTCATTACTATAAGAATCTTAAATCTCACATGTTTGGTTATTTATGTTTACTTTACAACAATTCCTTTATGTATATAAATATTTACATATACAGGGTGTTTCACGACTTTAAGGCATAACTGCAGAAGGTGATTTCCTAGATCTTTGTGATCAAAAAAATTCATATAAACACGTGTCCGATTTTGGACGGTTACGGAGTTATGACCGTTTTTTCATTCCCGTACACGCCCTCGTGTGAACCGCGTCTATCATCTGACAGGTCGCTATTTTTAGCCAGCTACAGACAGAGCGTTCTCGTTATCTCTACACTTGAGAGGTACCTAAGGCATGGTGGGTTGGTATGTATCCGCACGGTTCACAACTGAGCAGCAGCCTTTGTTGCGGCCGGCGGTGGCATTTTCGAAAATTAGATACATATATAGAAACCTACCTTTTTCTTTTTATTTGACTTTAACTTCTTTTTCTTCCTCCTTGGCTCAGATATATCTCTATCACCATCTCTTTTCTTCGCATGTTCTGCTGTAGTTGAGCCCACCTCATCTGAACTAAAGAACAATAACTCATTTAGTAATAATTAACCCCTCCTTTCAAAATTCATAAACATTACACTAAAACACAACTCACTACTGCAATCAAAGTCCAACTGTAAATAAAACGATACAGATTCCAAACCAGAAGTTACAGTTGATGTGCTGCTATTGTTAACTATGAGTGATATATATGAAGAAACAATATGGCCCTGTACAGCTTCTTCCAACAGTCATGAACATATGACTAAATACCTCATTCTGTGCTATCTGTCTGTGCATGAACAGTAATACCCACTTTCGGTACCATTTTCACAGTTAGTAATTAACTTTCTGCAAAGCTTTCCCATAAGCAAGTGTAAAATTATATAGGGCAATTATCAATACCGTTAAATTCTAGTATATGAAGGCACTCAGAAGACACTAACCCATGCACTCCTCTCCCTTGTAATGTCAGCCTTCTCTTTTTTCTTAAATAATGGAAATATAAGGCTAGATTTTGGGTTACTTTTAACCATAAATTTATAATGTTGGCTGGGAGGAGGAGGGGCATGATACGTAGTGCCTCCGTAAAATATAATTTCACCATCAATACTAACTCTTCCGAACGTGGCGGCGACTTCCCCCATACTTGCATAACTCCAATTAACCCAATTTTCTCTCGTTCTTGCCTGCGTTGATCCATGAAGTCATCTTCTTGTAGATGTCGATGTCTATCCCTGTAATTATGATAACCCTGTCCTCCAGAACCTGAATGCTCAAGATCTGCGAACTTGTCATGAGGCCAACGGTCCAAATGTCCATTGGCATTCTGACTGTCTTTGATTCCTGGTCTTCTACTTTGTGATCCTTTATCGCTCCTACTACTGCGAGATGTTTCATTTTTATCTTTATGTCTACCTGAACCGTGAGAAGAATCCATGTCTTTCCCCATGTTGCACTACACAGTACGAACCTCACCCAAACATAACCACAACAAAACCCAAACAGCCCTAAACCAATTGCCACCACCTACATGCGTAACTAAAAGTTGTAAACGGTTGGGAACGTTGGTAATATTGGGAGACCAGAGCTACCATCCAAGCTCAATTCTTTTTTTTTTTTTCAAGATGCATCTGATGCGCATTGAGAAACTACGTATGTTGGCGGTATTGTTCCGAACGTTCCGAACATTCGTGGGCACGATATGTATCGAATTATCGTGATTGTTGTGACGGAAACAATTACCCTGAAAGAAAGTAGTAGTAATTATTTTGTATTAAAAGGAATTAATCCTGAAAATCTAAGCTTTCAAAGTTGGTGGGAACAATAGGACATAGATTTTTTGAAGTGAATATGGAATACATTCCTGACCTGGAAAATGCCGGAGACGTGAAAGCAAAAATGTTAGTGTAGAAGCACGTTTTACTTTAATTTTATAGTTTCCGTAACGAGGTGAACTGGGAAGGTTATATACAGAACATGAAGTGGGAGATGAAAAGGAGAGCGTGGACATTGGCAATTATAAAATATTATCAGCGGAGTGACCGTGATTATGTTTTCGGTATTGCCCATACTGCCTTTAACGAATTCTTGCGAATTATAGGGTATGACATACGGCAATCTGCTGTAGTCCACCCTTAAAAATTGGGAGGAAAACAAACAATACGTTTTTAGAATTATAATAAGAGATTTCTCACATGCATTAGAAATGAAAAGGGAACCGGGTACATGTTCAGAACGTTTACTTGAAATACCACGTGGCTAATACAGAATCTGTATACACTATGAATGTGGTGTTAGAAAAATTATAATAATATAATTGTTTATTGTTATTAAATAACTCCACAAATCCTGTACAGGGGCTTTAGCACCCATAGGATATAAAACAGTGTTATCCAAACTTATCCAGATCTGATGAGGAGTCATCCCAGCCTTTTATCCAGTGGATAGTGGTGGCAATAAAGCTGACCGTTCTGTGTGTATGAATCAGGAAATTGAAATCAAACACCTAGAAGCATCGGACCTCCATGCAAAAATTTGTCCCATACTACTATATGGCATAGAGATAACCTGGGAAAAACTATCCAAACAAAACCTGCGGAAAATAGAACAAGTGGAGGCAAGATACCTTAAACTAGCGCTAGGGCTTCCTAAGAACACACAATCCAGACTAACATACGAACTCTGCAAGGAAAATTTCCTATTAGAAGAACTCAGATATCAACTGCCAAGCACAAAAAACTCAGAAGAAGTTATCAAAGAAAGAAAACAAAAAAGGGAGGAAATATGGGAAGAGTTCTACAGCACTGATGCAATGACCGACACAACCTGAACAGGACCCAACAGAAAATTACGACACACAGTTACTAGGTTGGCAACACACGGATTCTACCACAAGATATGCAAGAACGAACATTTCCACAAAGCAAATGACGCGTGTGTGTAAACACTGTGATAAAAAGTGCAGTAGATACCACATTACCATATGCAAAAACTTAACCACATCAATAACCAAATACAGTCGCGAATAAAAAAGCAATTACTCTATGCACATTGTGCGCATTCCCTTATTATATATAAAGCTGACCGTTCACCTCCATCTAGTGCTGTCGTTAAGAACGTGGAGCTATATCTCTACTACCTATATATCTACACAGTGTAGTGCTCAATTAAGCATAGGGGCAACTAGTGTTCCATTTTGGAAATGAAGTTGATAAGTGTAGTAAAATGCTTCATTTCTGATTTATTGCAATACACTGTCCTAGCACATTAATAATTTGTTTACAGTAAGACACTTTCCATAACATTTGATGATTCTTGCCATACAGTGTTCCACTGTTGAGGAGAGCTTACATTGAAGTGAGTTTACTCTAAAGTGAGTGAGGTCTGTATGCAAATGGTCCACATTTATATGAGAGTTGGTGGAAGTTACTGATCCAAATTTTTACTACATAGATAATAGTATATTGTTTTTGTCAACAGTGTATTGAAAAGTATAAGTAACATTTTCGTTTACTGGAATTATTGTCCTTGTTTTCAGATTATGTTGCCAGTGTGGTACTCCTATAGAACCAAATCCATCAAATATGTGTGTGGCTTGTTTGAGAACACAGGTTGACATTACTGAAGGGATCCCAAAGCAAGCAACATTACATTTCTGTAAAGGATGTGAAAGGTAACATAAAATTTTAGAAATGATATACCACTTTCCTTCCTCATTCTCATTGCCGTACATGAACAGAACCCTTCAGCCATACTGAAACATTCAGTGTTACCAACAGACAGTACCTTACATTCAGAAAGTAACAACATCATACAAAATCACCAACACACCAATCTTAAAGAAAAAAATATTTAAATCATAAATTCACTGTAAAATTTTATACAAATTAAAATATAGTGAACTTAAGAATCAAACTTAAGACAGATTCACATGTCACATACTTGTATAAAAACTAAAGTACACATAACCTAATAAATGTATACAAGAATTACATAGTTCCAGAAGACACAGGCTAATTCATTATTTAAAACTGATTTGTCTGTGATGGAATATGGCAATACTTTAAAAACTTGTTTCCATTACATGCCAAGGATCACCCAATTCGCCTTGTGAAAGTTTTGATCTGTCAGTCATACTCCCTCATGCTCTGACATACATGCCATCTACATAGAAATTTGTTCTGCCTATCAGAATATACCAGGGCATATCTCACAATATTTACAATGTATACTTGTTTCAAATCATTGTAAGGATGGTACATAGTTTTGATTAATGTACAGATATCTCCAGCCACCATCTGAATGGGTTCCATGTGCTTTGGAATCACGAGAGCTTCTGTCCCTTTGTTTGAAGAAACTGAAGGGTCTTAACAGAGTAAAGCTGGTTGATGCTGGTTTTGTATGGACAGAACCACATTCAAAAAGAATAAAGGTACGTTCTCTTATAATAATTTAAGACCCGTAACTTTCTCATGCATGTCCTTTACAGAAAAAATAAGCAGCCTCCGTAGTCTAGAGGTAACGTTCCCACCTCATGACTCGTGGTACGCGGGTTCAAACATGGCGGAGGTCGTGGAATTTTTAAGGGCGGAAAAATTCAGGGAACAAGTCCTCCGGGAGGGACTTTAAGCCATGGGTCCCGTGTCATAGCTTTACGGCACGTAAAAGAACCTCATATCTCCAAAGGAGGTCACTGAGCCAAATTCAACGACATTTCCCGCCCAACAGTAGTCTCTAACGCGTCTGATAGATGGGGGAAGCATTATAGATACCGCCAAGCCAGTAGAGGCCAAACTCGCTGGCTTGGATGGGACTGATGGTACGCACCAATATCGGTAGGGTATAGAGACTGGTAGAATATCATAGAGGGAAGCACAGTGGACCAATACTGGTCTAAGTGCATGGGGAAACCCACCCTCTCCAATAACTAACTAACTACAGAAAAAATATGTTACAGTTCAAAATATTAGCTATGGACTGGACAGATGGGTTCCAGTTCCCTGTTGGGGCACTGACAGTACTGTTCACCAGTGACCAGACTGGCTCTCGTGTCAATTCAGTCTCCTATCCAGTCAATACTATCCCAGAAGATGGCTTGTCTTCAACTTTATGTTTGTTTTCCTACAGAAAAACAAGTTGATTTGTGTGATGCCAGTGAGTAATAGGCTTTAATGATGAAGATTACTATCTTCTGGGATGTGATCCCACATAGTTTGATACATTAGTAGCAATGTTCTTGGGTAGGCATTTCTGTGGGACACTTAAACTTTCTTCCGGATTTCTTGTGACTCTTCATAATGAAGTTATGCTTCACGTAAGATTCATATCAAAAGATCCAATACTACAGTACAAATCCTCTGATCCTACATGAAGAAAATCTTGCACAACACAGTCACACACTTATTGCAAGAGAGTATATCACTTCCTCTTATCACCACTGCTGACCAAGTAGCAAATTCAGCAACTGTTGCAGTGATCTCATACAGTGAAAAGGATGAGCATCTGCCCAGGCCCTGAATAATCCTGCATATAAGCCAGTCTTAATGAAAATTACATCTGAAAAACACAGAATTTCTCTGACTAATTTTTGCTTAATATGTTATGTGATTAGGTGAAGCTGACAGTCCATGCAGAAGTGTTAGGTGGAGCAATTCTTCAGCAAGTGTTTGTTGTTGAATACACAGTTAATCATCAAATGTGTGATGATTGTCACCGCTCAGAAGCACAAGATTATTGGCGTGCTCTTGTAAGTATCGGAGCTGTCTGATGTTCAAATAATTTCAGCTAATTCAAAGTGACATTCTACCATTTTACATTCATAGTATCCTTCCATAATGTAATTTATATGTCTTATGTTTCAGGAAGAAATAATTTCTATTATTTGTTCTTATATCTTGAGCTACATCTCACTGTATTTTGGTGTCTGAATTTCTGGATTCCTAATTTCCATTAATTTCAGGTTCAGGTGAGGCAGAAGGCAGAGAATAAGAAAACATTCTATTATCTGGAGCAACTGATTCTGAAGCATAAGGCTCATGAACATACACTTGGAATCAAACCTATCCATGGCAAGTAGTGCATATGAGCCTGCAGAAATAAACTGAAATCTACTAGTCACTTAACACAATTTTCTTACCTTAAAAGTTATTTCTGTAAACTGTGGTGAGAAGGTGACCATACAGTTGGCAAAGAATAATATATGGAGATAATGATGACCTTTGACAGTTCTTTCATCATTAATATTATTGTTTCTCCCATCTGATTACATATAGAGGGCCTAGATTTCTTCTATCCAACAGAAGCATATGCCAGAAAAATGGTGGATTTCCTGGTATCTGTGTTACCCTGTAGATACCAGCACTCCAGGAAGTTGATATCTCATGATATCCACAGTAACATATACAACTATAAATTCACTTATAGGTAAGGAATTCATCTTAATTTGAAATCCAGTCACTTTAATGCTGTTTTTTTTTTTTCAATGACAGCAGCAGAGGTTTCCATGGCCTGAATTTTAACTGATGTCTCTGTGAATATATGCATGTTACCATTCATGTAGTGTGCCCAGTTTTTCCATAGAATACTGTTGGATTGGCTGCAGCTTTATATATGTTTAACTTTCTGTTTTTTCGGGCTTCAATAGACTACCTAACATTCCAGTAACTTTTGAGAAATTTTGAAATTTTTAAATTTACTTCCTCTTTATTATAACAGAAAAGAAGTTCATCTCTTTTCACATGTGAAGCAGTTTCTAATAACGGCTATGCTTATTTATAAACTTCATGATTTTAGCAAGTTAATAGATACATTGTTTCAGTGTGGAGATTGTTCCAGTATCAAAAGACAGTGTGGTCTGTTTGCCACAGAAACTTACAAATCAGCTTGGAGGAATCAGCCCTGTATGTCTTGTACATAGAGTGACAAATTTTATTCACCTCATAGACCCAGCCACAACACAAAGTAAGAATACTGGTATTGCAAATAGCAAGGAAAGAGAAGATGTTTACCCACCAATATTCTGTGACTATTTCCTGTTTGTTTGAGCTATATATCAAGCCAATTATAAACAACTTTATCTAGCTATACTCATAAACAGGAATACTAAGAATTCCCTACTATAGTCTGTTATCTCATGTAATGAATAAGTAATATAAAACCCCCCTGAAATGGAATCTTGAGGTCTCACACTGATTTTCTGTTTTGGTAATTTATGTCTAACCAGATACATGGAAAGTGAATCACATTGGCTTTGGGTCACTTGCAGAAATGGCCTAGCAGCATGAAATGAACCAAGTGACAGATATTCATAGAACTTGGTATGCAGAAGACATTAGGGAGGGAAGACAGATATGGACATGATCATACCATAAGCCTACCCCTCCTAAAGTGAGAGAATTAGACTAAGAATAAAGTTACATCTCAATAACCTCTGCTTTGATTATATGATACAAATGGATGTTACAGTTGCAGAAGTGAATAGCACTGTCTTTTGGCGTTATCCATTTGACAGCATATGCAACCCAAAGCAGATGACAGAATACATTGTTATGGATATTGACCTAATTTTGAGTAAGGATCGAAAAACATTTCCGGGACAAGGAGCAGTTTCCAACAAGGTATTTCAGTATGTTCAATAATACACGAATAAATGCATGTTCATGTGAAGCCCACTGAAATGACCAAACCTATTTTGCAGCATATACTGGCTGATGTGTGGGTGGTGAAGGCATCAGAATTGGGTTTGACTGAAAACACAGTTCATACTCGAACTCATTTAGGACACATCCTGAAACCTGGAGACTCTGCTCTTGGGTAAGCCATAGCCAAACTTGTAACATAAGTGTATAGGTCAAATGTGGACAATTGTGGACGAAGCAGAGAAGAATACATTGCAGAGTTACTGTGCCTTAAAAAAAATTAACATAACTAGACAATATAAAGCAATGTTTGTATTCCTTAATACATGATATAAGGTGTGGTGGTAAACCAATGCAGCAAGACGCGTAAAGAAGAAAGCATGTAGGGAGAAACTATATTGTGGGCATTTTGGTAACACATCCATAAACCTCTTATACAGATGAAGATACATATCACATTAAATACCTTCATTATCCCTTAGAAAAAATTATGTACAAAATAATATACCATTCTGGGATTACAGGATAAATTTCATAGCTGTGAACTGCAGCTTAACTTCTCAGTCTGGACCAATTAATAACTCCATGTCAAAAGATATCTTTTGAAAAATCAGCATCTATGCAGCTGGTCAAGATCTTGAAATCATCTCAGGTTTTCAGCCATGTCAGTTAGAAATTACTGATGTTTCAGGGACCATCATTTCTATCAACATAACTGCCATGAAAGCTTCACAATTTACAGCAGCTGGCCAAGAAATTCCATGCCTCATGGAACATACATAATTCTCTGACCAATTAATATTTCCTTCATAGTACAGGATTGTCTCTGCTAGTATAAGCTTAACTGCATAAGTTGAAATATTAAAGTTACTACGTTACACATAGCTAATAAGGAGTACCTCTGAAAGCCAGAAAATAAGACTCTTTGCCTATGAGTGGAATTTTAGGCATAAATTTCATACATTTTGATTAAACAATATAACTGCATTATGTTCTTGTGTGTTCAGTTCCTATATTTTAGAACAGTTCAAAACACATAGAACATAAGTGCAAATTTAAAGCAGTATTCTGTTGGTTGCTACAGACAACAAGAGCCTTGCCTTATATGTGATTAAATGTGGTAAATAAGCTTAATACATATTATTTTAATATGTTTTAATTGTATTTTTTAAGGTATGCTTTGGGTGATAGTAACATTAATGATCCCAACTTTGAAAAACTAGACACTAATAAGATACCAGATGTCATTCTCGTAAGAAAGCACTATGGTGACAAAGGTGCTAGAAGGCGATTCCGCAATTGGAAACTGAAGCACCTTGCTGAAGAGAGCACAAACCTCAACACAGCTACAAAGTAAGTGCTTTGTTGCTTTTGCATTAGCAAACAGATGTATTTACTAAGTAATTTCTGTGTATACTGCAATTTGATGAACCAAGTTCCTGGTGGTAGGGCCAGGGTTCATCCCTGTCAGTACTGAGCCTCTTTAATTCAGTTCATTCCTCACAACCTTTTATTTTAGATATACTTCAGTATTATTTTCCTACCTCTTCTTGGTCTTCCATATTTTTTCCACACCCAGAGTCCATTTTTCACTTCTTCATTTCCCCCAAATTTGCATCTGGCACATCTTTAGGTAACTGAATTATGGTGTAATATCCGCTCACGTGTTCCTTCACCATGCACTTTCAGAAATTTGTAAATTATAGTCTTCTGCTCAGTGGAATTGTATTCATCTTCTTTGGACTGCAGTTTCACCTAAATACTAAATGAATTTTAAGAGCGCACAACAGTTATAAAAACAGCACACTGGAGAGCTATGGAATATTAATATTACATGTTTATTAAGCCGAGTCTGTTGATTGAACATTCAGTGCCAGAGGGCCTTGCATTAAACCACCAAAGAATGTAAATGTAGTTATAATTGAAACTTGCCATCATCTGGGATTTAGCGTCATGTAGGACATACTCGTATATGAGCTGACGTTCATAACTACCGCTGTGAGAACCTCAGATCATACATAGTTATAACTGTTCCTTCTTTTTAGTGACTACCTTGAATTTCTGGATGATCTGGAGGAAGATCCAACTTATCGCCAGAACGTGAACATCTTCCGTGATAAAAGCAAGGATCAAATAGCTGTGGATGTTGATGACTTGGGAGATGAGACTATTCCTCGTATTACTCTGGATGAAATGCTGGATGACTTGAACTTGGAAGATGTACAGATGCAGGAGACTTAAATAGATTAACAACTGTAATCATATTGTCTGGTACAAGTATATGTAAAACAGTACTTCTTCCATACATTGTGGATCCAGGGTCAATCTGTGTTCTGTCATTGAAGTTCATTTGTATCTGATGTAATGGTTCTGCCCTGTTTTGTTTCACTTTATTTTGATTTCAAAATATCCTTGTAAGATGCTAATATTTAGAAATATCTGGATATTCATGAGTAGCCACACATTCCAGCATCTTTTTGAACATACATTGAAAAATCGTTATTTTGACTGATATTTTTATATTTTGCCAGAATTCCGCTCTCGTAATATAGTTTCAAGTCATCTACTGAATGTGATGTTAACTTCAATAATAAAAGCTAAATCTTGTAATATATAAGAACTTTCCAACAGTGAACATTTAACAGAGGAGAAGTTATACTGAACTTTCTTCACTCCCAGAGTTCTTCTGTTACAGTGTATTTTCCTGAACAGAGATACAGCACAGATTGACAAGGGGGAACAAGCAAATGTTATTCAGTTTCTTTTAAGAGAAATAAATAAATTTATTGAAACATGAAAAGATTATCATCCTTTCAACTTCCATTATTCCCTAATTTTCTAAATGAATCTTAATTGTCTTTATTTTTGTGTTTTATGGAGGTAATGGTATGCTGCCCCACTGCAAGCTGCCATAAAGAAGTGTCCCCATTTCCTCAACTGTAAATCTTGAACAAGTGGATGCTTTACTTAAAGTACCTGTATTTCTTTGGGGCATGCGGTAGCATAGTGGTTGAGGTGCTACGCTACAAGCCGGAAGGTCGCGGGTTCAAATCCCGATGAGGTCATTGGATTTTTTCAGTTTACCTAATCCTTCCAGCCACACTAGGCCCTGGGGTTTACTCAGCCTCTTAACAGAAATGAATACCAGGAATTAATTAAATAATTTTCCTGGGGAGTAAAGCGCGGCCGGCGTGTAAGGCTGACAACCTTAGTGCCATTTTTGAGCTGATTGTCTAGATAATGTGGGACCCTCAATGTCTCACAACCCTATGGGCCTTCACGGCCTGGTACATAGCTTTAAATTTTACTTCTACTTACTTACCTGTATTTCTTCTGTTAGTAAGAAAAGGTAAATTTGTTCTTGTACTTATGCCATGAAGACATATGGGCAATGGAGGTATAACTCCACCATTCTTGACTTCTGGGCTGGACAGAGACAACTGGTCATCTTCATGCCCCAGCTGCTTTACCTGTGGTACGCATTGCATAGGAGGCTGGGTAGGACCCAGAGCCTGTCTGGTCATTGTGGAGAAGAAAGAGATCTTGTCCCTGCTGGGATTCAAACCCTGTAACTACATATTACAGCATTTATACTTAATCCTTCTGAATGTTTTCCCTATATTCTTTGATCCCTGTAGTCTCCATATGCAACTGACTTGTGCTCCTTGTGGAAGGCTTGTGACTAGGGTGAGGTGGGGGGAAAGGAGGTCTAGGAAACATGTTCAGAAATACATTAAGTCATTAGGGCTACTTATTGTCTACATAACTATGACAAGTGTAATTATTCATCTTGCAAGTTTATGGTAAAAATTATTATATATTCGAAACAGACTTAACCAGTATGATTGCACTGCCGTTCTACCTTTAGGCTGATATTCAACTTTTTAAGAATTTGTCCCCCCCACCTTACCCTGGCCTGAGTTTTTTTTTTCAATATTCTTAACAAAAAACATTTCAAGATATAACCTACAATTTTATATGAGTGTAAAGATAGAATTTACTAGCCTGTTCTGCAGGAATTTTTAAAATCAAATATTCTGTACTGCACTGCCAAGCTGGTAACATATATGAATTACATTCAACAGTAAATTGACAGGATTGTGACTGACGTAACAGAATCCACCTGACTGTCTCAATCAATTCACTGATACAGAAACAAATCTGTATCATTTTACATCTATTTGGTAGCAGAACCAAAGGTTCAACATCATTGACACCAAATGACTGTCACTGAACATGACACCAAGCCAGTTCCATCCACCTCCTATCACCATACAGTTCCCTAAAATCCATCTTAATATTGAAGAGTTCTGTCTTCTGGGATATGATGCTGTGTAATGCGTTGAAGACTGAACAACATTTCAGAAGAACATGTCGCCTCCTGCTTGTATGCTGGTTGCGTGGCTCAATCTTCAACCCAGAAAATTGGTGTGACATTTTCCTCCAGAACGTTAACTGACTTTCAACAGAGTACATGGTTTTATATCCCAGAAGACACACCTCTTCATAACCACTGGTGTGAGAATATCAAATCGTACTTAATATTATTCTCCTGTCTTCCTTCCAGTGGATATTTCTTAAAGATACCTTCCCACCACAATTTTGGTACTCATTCCTCCTCAATGTAGAACAAGTAAAAATTTAAAATGTAATGTACAATAAAGTGACAGTGAAGCTGTTCACTTACTCGTGTCACACATGCAGCTTTCATGATGCTCAGTCTCACAGGAAGGAATACGCTTCCTCCCTGACACTGTTGTTTCTCCAGACAGGATGTTCCATCTATCATTGGTAAACTAGGTGTACACTCTGATGAAGCCACTGTACAACATGATTCCTGCTCACAAGTGGCTGGCTGTGCATCATGTCCCTTCATCTGCCCTGGCATAAACTGGCAATTCTGATAGCACAAGGAGTTCTTGTATTGTATTGTACTGTATTTACTGTAAGTTCAAGAGATCCAAAGCTGGATATAGAGCAATGTCATAAAATAATATAGAGCACAGAATACATACATAGTTATTACACAACTAAACAGTACAATGAATACAACAATAGTGAAAAATATCTTTTTAGATATTCATCCACAGTATAAAATGTATGAGTGTTCAAGAAATGCCTTAATACAACCTTAAACTTTTTCAAATGATTACATGTGTTCTTGATCTCTATGGGCAAGTTATTAAATATTTTATACCCGCATAATAAACTCCTTTTTGATAAATATTTAAATTACCTTGAGGTAGATACAAATCTTGTCTTTGTCTAGTATCAATAGTATGAGAATCAATGTCTGATGGAAAAAGAACTTTATTTTGTAATACAAATATTAATAACAAAAGTATATATTGTGATGCAAATGATAAAATATTTAATTCTTTAAATATGTTTCTACACAAAACTCTGTTGCCATACCCCAACATCGCTCTGATAGCCTTTTTTTGGAGAAGAAAAATAGAACTATGAGATGAGTTTCCCCAAAAGATAATACTATAGCTCATTAAGGAGTGAAAAAAGGAATAATAGATTACCTTTAGAGCTGAAATAGACATATAATATTTCATATTTCTAATTACATAACAAGCCTTACTTAATTTTTTTACAAGTAAATCAATATGATTCTTCCATATTAAGGCACTATCAACTACAACCCCCAAGAATTTAGTACTGAGGGTACTGTTGATAAATTTATTATTATGATTTATTGTAAAAGTATCTGACATTACTGTCTTAGTTTTAAAGTGAATACAATGTGTCTTATTAGAGTTGAAAGATAATTTATTAGCTCTAAACCATCTATTTAAAATTTCAATTGTTATAAGAATATTCCTGTTAAGATCATTTATATTAGAATGTGAAAATAAGAAGCTAGTATCATCAGCAAAAATTATAGGCGTAGAAAATGTATTTAATATTTTAGGCAAGTCATTTATATATAAGAGAAACAACAAAGCTCCTAATACAGACCCTTGCTGCACTCCCTGTCTAATATTAAGCAAAATCTGAGGATACTGTGTTCACATCACTTTTATGTATTATTGTTCTAATATATCTGTTACTTAATTAAATTCATAAAGATTCATTCTTTCCCAGTAATACCATAAAATTAAGTTTGGACATTGCACACAGCTCCATGGTTATGATGCAGCTTGCAGTTCTTATCACAGCAAGCATCACTGTCTCCTGTACCCAGTAATCCTGCATCCCACTAATCACCTTCCACAGGTTGCCACAGAAGGACACTTGTGGTTCAGAGAAATAACGCTCCAATCTGTCTTCTAGTACTGCTTGAATTGATTTCACACTGCATGATGAGGTTCTACAGGAAAAAATTCTAGTTCTTTAATCTGAATCATATAGAATTTATTATGCCATCAGGCAAGACACAAATCTACTGGTACACAGAATTACTGGATTTTTGGACTTTTTCCATCATCAGGAATTCCATCTTCAGGTGAGAAAGGAAGACACCTACTCAGTTGGGCCCCTTAGAAAGAGCTAATCTCAATCACTGCTCCACTGCTTCACATTCTGGACGTCCTAGTTTCAAATCTCAACCCAAAGACTAACTTAATTAAGATCTTTCATTGTTTTCTTCAGTCCCTTCAAGCAACAAACTGGAAGACTACATTAACCATTTAAAGACACAATTTCTTCTAAATAATATACACAAATTCAGGCCATATCTCACAGGAAACATGTTAGGTCTCCACTACAAAGCCCAACCGGTTGATCCAGTTTAGGGAACCAATAGCTGTTTATTGTGAGAACCATATGAAACCACAAATACACTCTGTGGGGAGAATCCATAGTTTTAGTATGTTAAAGCAGATGGTACATATTCCTGGGCCTTAAGGGATAAAACAGACCAGAACGTCTTTCAAATCATCATTCAAAATCATACTGCCGTTCACTGGTATGTAATCCATGCACCTGACAAAACCTGCACTACATGTCTGCCCCTTTATCACTGACATAACGCTCTGAATTAATATTCTGTCCTCTTCATGTCACATGTCACAAAAATGCATTCTTCTCTCATAATCTCATCTGTGTCATGAACTTGTGAGGTGAAAGTCCTAATCCGGCTCCACTTTTGTTTGGCTTTTTCTCAGTTACCACAGCATTTTCTGTCCAAGCCAAGATCCATCTAGCTGCGCCATAGCTTAAGCGGTTAGTCACTGGCTTCCCACCGCGGCGGCCCAGGTTCGGTCAAGTGGGATTTGTGGTGGACAAAGTGGCGCTGGGGCTGGTTTTCTCTGAGTAGTTTGGTTTCCCCTGCCAATCTTCATTCCACCAATTGCTCCACGATTACCTTCGCCTATCATCTGGGGCTGGTACAATAGGCCAGAAGTGGCTGTGGTACAAGGGACTCAGTCCCACCCCACTAACAATAAAAAAAAAGATCCATCTAAACACACTTTCTTCATTAATTAAAAATCGTTAATAAACTTGGAACTTGAACACTGCAATATTTATGGCAAACCTTTCTTTTACATGGTTTACAAGATTTTGTTCATGTAAGCATCATACAGATATGTCAACTTATCAAGCGCATACATCACCATTGCAATTCAGTATTGCAAACATGGACATGAAGCAAATGTCTGAATGCCTTACAAGAAGAGAAACACATGGAAGACTGATGGACTTTACACCAAATCTAAAAGTTCATGATGATGGTATAGTAATACAGTTACTGACTTCTTGGGACATTAATCACTATTATTTTTTTTATGTAAAACATTTTGAAGGTCAGACTCTGCTACTATCCTCAGGAAACAGGCTTACCCGGTTGGACCCAACTGATACAGCTAGTCCCTACCTCTGGACAGTGGAAGAGTCCAGTCTCTGAAACATTACTGACAAAAAATAATGGGACATAGATAACGTCCAAAAAGTTAATAACTGTTTGGAATGGGTAATTTGCAGCTGCTGTCATGCCATAAAGAAGACAAACAGTAACAAAACCTTACAGTCTCCATTCCCACCCACTGATGTTACAACATGTGCTCAGCTATCAATATCACAGCCTCCTCACAGTTAGGGTTGCCCAATTCAGTTGTTTGTGAAAGAAATGGTATATTAGTTACCTACACATGTTAATTTTTTATGCAATAAAACCTTTCTACCTTCGCTTCCGGGAAAAGTTGGAAAATGTTACCTAAATCTCAACATGAAATTAAATGAGTTAACGGGTACTGCTCATCTGCCCGAACATTATGGACACTGAGCAGGCAAATTCCTCTCCAGTGTTGTATTCAACCTCTGCATCCTATTTGATTGTTGTTACTGGGGTTTCATAACTTTCAAACATTGAAAATGTTATCTTACACTATAACAAAGCCAGAAATTCACATGGCAATTTTCCCCTCCTCCTATTTCCTTGAAACAAGATTCCAGCCTCTTACACATTAGTATGCACAATTATTTGAAGTAATGGCATTCTTTAAATACCAACATCACTTAAGTTTGTCATTATATTATTTAATCTGCTTGGATGACTTGGATATGCAATGGGCGGTGGCTGATTCCAGCACATTAAAGGTTAGAAATTGTATAAAGACATTGAAACCTACAGGATATAATTAAAAGTATCAAAAAAGCAACAAGTACAGTGCAACTTTAAAAATTCTATAAGTGTTGATATACCGCAAATGCTGTAGCTTCAAAACGCATGCAAAACGCAAGAGGCATGCCTTTCCTTGGTCAACATCATACATAACACGCATGTGTTATCCTGTTTTTGGTCGATATCGTTCATAACACACCTATATGTTATCCGGTGTTATCTATGTAACAAAGCAACTAAGCATTGTAAAATGACACACTAACGAAACCACAATTCCTAACACTTTTGTCTTTGACATTCGCGCGAGAGCGTACAGATGACAACACCGTTTACGACTATTAGAATAATAACAATGTTATGACCGGTTACGACGGCTACGACCGCTACGACAACAGCCGATCTTTGTCGAAATAATCAGCTGAGAAAAGAAATACCGTGACAGGTGAGGGCGAAATTGCGGTATTGTTATTTTAATATTGTGACCTTAATTAATTGCGATTCGTATTGATTTCCGTAACTTCCTTAAATGTATTTTATATGTGTGATCAGTAAATTAGATTAAAGTGTACATACATTTGACATATGTGTAAGGACTTTAGTTCTAGGGGCCCCATATACCAGAAAGCTGATAATGCTCATAAATATTCATATGATTTTTATAGCACAAGTGGAATAACACCTGCACATAATTAGTTGGGGCAGCTGTTTATATGTATTGTTGGAAATTTTGTTTCTTCTCACAAAGTTTGCACCATTTGGATTAAGAATGCCATAGTTTGCGTTGTTGATGAAAAGTTTTGTGGATATACTCTCATATGTATAATTTCTGTTTATTTTCAGTATGTGAGATAAAACTATCTGGAATGCCAGCTGGTCAAAAAAATACATTTAAAATGCATCTTTCTTATCTGTTGTGGGTGTGGTTTTTATCTGTGTGTTTGGGAGAAGAATATAAATTAAGCCCACAGTGGAGACAGATATGTCCACGGATTTACTTGAGTGTTTTTACTAGTTTTGCTCCAAGAGGAAATGAAACAGCAGGTGCTTACTCGAAAAAAGATAATATACATTCTTTGGAGGATTGTATAACAAGTTGCTGCGGAGAAGATGTTTGCAATGTTGTTTTCATGCATGATTCAACTTGTTACCAAGTATGTAAACGTGAGTTTTTATTTTGTCATTGTGTGTAATCTGCTTTGAATTAAGTTTATGAATAACGTTAATAAGACTATGTTGATTCTGGCCCTCAGATCATGTGTGCTACTAGTGAACTTTGTGCACCATTGTTCCGTCCAGAGCCAAAATTTGGCAAACATGTTAGCATGGTACTTGTTCAGCCTGTATCATCATCAGAAACGTGGCATGAAGTCATTGAAGCTACGTGGGCAGATGACTACAGAAAGTATGTTTCTTTTTTATGTTTCCACTTCAGAGAATGAAAAGAATCATGCCCTGCATCTGCACAACTTCAGTGCTGGAAGCAGTATGTGTATGAATATGAAATGTGATTTTGTTTTTCTAACTTTTTTACAGTAAAGATTCATCAATGGATGCTGCTGAAACTCATTACAGTTGTGAAGTTGGTGTGGTTATAGATTGTCCTATGAATGAAGAATGCGTACAGCTTGTAACACACTCTCGCAGTGGGATATGCCACTGTGTGGCGGATTACCAACGCAATTCCACTGGCGTCTGTACTCCTATTGGTTAGTATATGATGCAAAATTAGGATACAAGGCTTCACAGTGCAATCTAAGATCCCTGTTTTAATATGGAAAATAACTTGTAATTGTTTTATTTCTGGTAAAAGAGCAGAATATGGTTTGGGTCCAGTAATATAATTGTACCTGACCTACCCTTTCAAACTCAAAATAAACCAACTTAAGAAGCCAAGCAGCCCTGAATCAAGTCAACTGTGATGGGAGATCCAAATCATACTCTTCATTTTAACCCCTCATCCACCAATCCCACATGTTGCACTGATAGGTGTTTTCCTATAATCCCAAAATGAGGTTGACAACCTGATAGCACTTCTGAATCTGGTAAGGTTAATTATCGTCCTTGGGTTCTTTTGTGAGATCCAGTTTCTTCAGGCAATGCCAATAGGATATGTCAGATTATGGCTACTTCCTTTTGATTCAGATCCACTACTTATCTTCCTTTCACATACATACATACATACATACATACATACATACATACATAGCATTCCATAGATCCATGAGTTAGTCAGATGACCTACCGGATGTGGAATTTGTCAAAAATCATACAATACATATATACATGCACAATTCAATTTCACATAAATAGTAAGGATTTCACAAAAGTAGTAAAATATCCATCATAAATCCATACATTAACATATACTAGATTTTTTTTTCCTGTGTTCCAAACAAGAGAAAACATTACATACACTTTATGTTGTTTGGAAGCATAAATTCCTCAACAGAGTAAAAGGAGTGTGTAATTAAGTATCTCTTTAGTGCTACTTTAAATTGTCCCTGTTTATCTATAAGAGTTGTGATATTTGGTGGTAGATTGTTGAAGATTTTAATGCCAGTATAATATGCACTCTTCTGGAAACAAGAGAGGCTGGCAACTGGTCTGTGAAGCTGATTTTTATTCCTTGTGTTGACATTGTGTATTGTAGAATTGGTTGGAAAAAATTCTTGGTTTTTTACAATGAAGATCATTAAGGAGAATATGTATTCACATGGGAGAGTTAAGATCTCTAGCCTCTTGAAGATATTTTTACATGATTCTCTTGGTTTAACACCAGCCATTATTCTAACAATTTTCTTTTGTAAGATGAATATCTTCTGGCTGTAAGATGAGTTACCCCAAAAAATTATTCCGTACTTCATTACAGAATGAAAATAGGCAAAATAAATCAATTTGAGAGTCTCAGTATTGCTGACATGAAACATGCTTCTAACTGCGTAGCATGCTCCACTTAACTTAGGGATCAATTTATCTATATGGTTCGACCAACTTAGGTGGCTATCAATTTGCAAGCCAAGGAATTTCGTATTTACTGTCTCTTCTATATATTTTCCATTATATCCAATATTTAAAACATAGGGAGGGGCATTATTTGTTGTAAATTTCATTACATTTGTTTTGTTTAAATTTAGGGCAAGTCTGTTAGCATTGAACCATTTATTCATGTGGGAGAGTACTCTGTTTGATATTGCACAGAAATCATCAAACATTTTACTAGAGATTATAACACTTGTATCATCAGCAAATATTATGGGTTCTGATGAAAAATTTATTGTTGGTGGAAGGTCATTTATATATATTATGAAAAGCAAGGGTCCCAGGACAGATCCTTGGGGAACTCCATGCTTTACTGTTCTCCAGTTTGAGAAAAAATTTTGAGTATATTTGGGTGATTTTATCTCAACCTTTTGTTTTCTATTTGTTAGATAGGATTTGAACCATTTTAACACTGTTCCTCGAATGCCATAAAATTGCAGCTTACTTAACAAAATTTCATGATTTACACAGTCAAAAGCCTTTGCCAGATCACAGAAAATTCCTCCTACATGCCTTTTTTGGTCAATTGATTTTAAAACATTGTCTGTTAGCTTGAATGCTGCATCTTCAGTGGATACACCCTTCCTAAAGCCATACTGTTCTGGGACCAATATGTTGTTACAATGCATATGCTGATTTATCCTGCTGTACATGACCTTTTCAAGTATCTTAGAAAAAGTAGATAATAATGAAATCGGCCTATAGTTCGTCATACTGTACTTATCTCCTTTTTTGAACACTGGTTTTACTATTGAAATTTTTAGACGGTCTGGGAAAATGCCTGTGTATAATGAGTGATTACAAATGTGAGTTAAAGGGCAACTAATTAAATCAGAGCAAGCTTTCAGAATTTTGCTTGTTACTTCATCAAATCCTGATGAGTTCTTTGTTTTCATGGTGTGTATAATATTCTTTATCTCAGCTTCACTGGTTGGAATGATTTTAATACTAGGAAAATTTATGGGAAATGCATCTTTTAAAAATGAGAAAGCATTTTCATTTCCCATCTGATGTAAATTTAAGGTCTCAGCAACTGTTAGAAAAAATTTATTGAAGTCGTTGGCAACTATTTCTAGATCCTTTGCTTTCTCAGATTTTGCCAGAAGAGATGGCATCTGATCAGTTAAATGCATTTTTCCTGTCTCCCTTTTAATTATGTTCCATGTCATTTTTATTTTATTATCTGACTTAGCTATAAGTCTTCTATAATGCTGCTTTTTAGCTTCTTTTATAACATTTCTAAGAATTCACATTCTACATATAACCTCTACAATTTGAATAATGTAAGTTTGTAGCCTATGAATTTGTTAGTCCTCTAAGTGTGATTATTTTACTGCTGTATGTGCAAGAAAAATCAAATAGTAACTGTTACTAATATCTAAGTGAAGTGTTCTTCTGTAACTGTTTGAGGAGAAGTGCAGGATTTCTTATATCAGATATTAATTAACCCTTTAAAGCCTTCTATAATTGTTTGAGGGGAAGTACAGGATTTCTTATATCAGATAATTAATTAACCCTTTGAAACCTGAAATTCATCTAAATGGTGTTTAATATTTGCTTCTGTCTCACAGAAAATAACTGCATGTTCATTATGTAGAGTGACCAGTTGATGTTTAGGGAAACAACTAATGTTTATGAAGAATGTCGTCTTCTTGGATGTGGCGCCGTGTAGATCTTGTGTGAACCAACGTTTTGGAAAAAGTAATCGTCTCCATTTTCAGGATAGAAAAATCCGCAAGTGAGGAACCAGCGTGAGCAGGTGGCTGCAGACTGAGCCACCAGTCGAAATCACCCAGCTATATAAGAAGAGAAAGGGATGGAGAGTGGGCTACATGGGAAGTCAGTAGAGGTGAGAAGGAAAGGGTCTGTAGAGATGGGCGAGCAGGTAGCAGGCCAGAGCCAGTATAGGATCGTGTCAGGGGGAAGGCAGGGCTACCAAGCGAGCATTGACCCAACAGCCTCAGGTATAAGTTACCAACCATGCATTGACCTGCATAGCCTTGTAGATCTGGTGTCACGTTCCCTCAAGATCCCCCAGAATATAATGCCAGATCTACAAGGCTATGCAGGTCAATGCATGCTTGGTAACTTAGACCTCAGGCTGTTGGGTCAATGCTCACTTGGTTGCCCTACCTTCTCCCCCCACGACACAATCCTATACCGGCTCTGGCCTGCTACCTGCTCGCCCATCTCTACAAACCCTTCCCCTGTCCTCTTTATTGATTTCCCATGTGGCCTACTCTCCCTCCCTTTCTCTTCTTATATAGCTGAGTGTTTTTGACTGGTGGCTCAGTCTGCAGCCACCTGTTCATGCTGGTTCCTCGCTTGCGGATTTTTCTACCCTGAAGAGGAAGGCGATATGTTCCTCTGGAACGTTGGTTCGCACGAGATCTACACAGCGCCATTTNTGAGGAGAAGTGCAGGATTTCTTATATCAGATATTAATTAACCCTTTAAAGCCTTCTATAATTGTTTGAGGGGAAGTACAGGATTTCTTATATCAGATAATTAATTAACCCTTTGAAACCTGAAATTCATCTAAATGGTGTTTAATATTTGCTTCTGTCTCACAGAAAATAACTGCATGTTCATTATGTAGAGTGACCAGTTGATGTTTAGGGAAACAACTAATGTTTATGAAGAATGTCGTCTTCTTGGATGTGGCGCCGTGTAGATCTTGTGTGAACCAACGTTTTGGAAAAAGTAATCGTCTCCATTTTCAGGATAGAAAAATCCGCAAGTGAGGAACCAGCGTGAGCAGGTGGCTGCAGACTGAGCCACCAGTCGAAATCACCCAGCTATATAAGAAGAGAAAGGGATGGAGAGTGGGCTACATGGGAAGTCAGTAGAGGTGAGAAGGAAAGGGTCTGTAGAGATGGGCGAGCAGGTAGCAGGCCAGAGCCAGTATAGGATCGTGTCAGGGGGAAGGCAGGGCTACCAAGCGAGCATTGACCCAACAGCCTCAGGTATAAGTTACCAACCATGCATTGACCTGCATAGCCTTGTAGATCTGGTGTCACGTTCCCTCAAGATCCCCCAGAATATAAT